AAGGAATTAGCGTATTGCTATAATGCTATTAGCTAATTGTATTAGTTTGTTTAGCCAAAAAAAAAAAAAAAAAAAAAAATAAAAAAATAAAATAAAATTGTATTAGTTTGTATAACTAGTTAATTGTATTAGTAATTGTTTGTATAAAAATGTTTAATGTTTGAATGAGCTGATAGCTACTTTATTTGTGTATTAATGACTAGTAAAACTCTTGGAACAATCAATCGCTAGAGGAAGCTTTGAAAAACCCTTGGCAGAAAGTACAACTAATGAATATTAACAAATTTAATGTGATGTACTGATGAGAGACTAGAGAGCTATATCTCGAGTCTCTCTTTTTTTTTCCACAAATGCTGAAATTTTCAATATTTTTGTGAAAATAAATTTGAGACTACGTAATAATGAAGTATATATATGTTCTCACAAAAAAAATAATGAAGTATATGTATGTACGTAGAGTTTTTTTTTATGCGAAGAAACATCTCTAAACAAGTTATAAAAAACTAAATAGGACATAACTTTTGTTGTAAGCGAGTATCGCTTAACACATTCCGGAAGTTTGTGGCTTTGTTTTTTGCATTATTATTTATTTGCATGTGACCAACACTTTTTTTGTTGGTTTATTTGGCCATTTTCCTCCTTTTTTCCAATTGATTTTTTTCATGATGTTCACCTCAGTCCTCAAAGTACTCGTGCTCTTCTCCTTCCTCCATTTTCGCACTCAATCTTTCTAGAAGCTCCCACTATTTCATGTGGAATTGTGGATCTGCAAGATTATTTTGCCCCCATATAACTCATGACCTTTCATTTATGTAGAAATAACAATATAGCAATTAGCAAATACTATCATGTTTTGTTTATCTTGATTTTACTTTTTTTTTTTTTAAAAAAAAAAAGAAGATAAATGTAGTTTAGGAAACAAGGATTACCAAATCTATCTAATATCATATCACTAACAAATAAAACTGAATTCGCAGACATCCATATGACAACGACACTTGGCATTCCAATTATTTGCCAAGTGTTGTGCCATTTAAGCGACAACTATACATAAACTTTTCACGTTAGATACATGCTAGCGTTATCGGATAGAGTTTTATTATCGATAAACTATTAATCCTTTTATACGTAAGTAATTCATAATTTTTAAAACATATCTAATAAAATTGTAATTTTTGCTTCATAAATTGTTTTAAAATTTGCTTTAAAACGAGATTCATTTATGAATATTTTTAACCAATTATTAAAATTTTAATTCAATTTAACAAATATAGAATAAAAAAATTATAAGAAACTTGTTTTTTTTTTTAAATTTCCAGCATTAATATTTTTTTAACACCATACATACTTAAATTTATAATGAATTTTGAATCATTCATAAACATAATAGAATATTGAAAAAAAGGACATATGCTCTTTATAGAATAATTTTCATGTGATAAAATTTAATATTCAAAGTTTATCCTAAAAATTTATAAGCAATTCGGGCATCACCCGAGCACAAAACTAGTATATATATAAAGGGGAGTTTTTCCCGAGTTTTTAGAGAGCCACAGGATTAAAAAAAAAATTAACGCGCTATGTAGGATTATAAATTTTACTTATAGCCAATGAAATAAGAGATTTGTAATTTCTTGCCACATAAGCAAAATTGATTTTTAAGTTTAAATTAATTAAATATAAATAATATTTTTGAGATTAGAAATTTTATCTAAATATATAACGAATAAGAAAAAAAATTTAGTTTATTTTAAAATAAAAATATTAAATAATATATTACGTACAACGAAAAAAATAACAAAATTGATCACATAATACTAAAAATATTTGGTTTTAAATATACAAACAAACCGTGCATTGCACGAGCTTCATCTAGTTTAATCTATCACCAAGATATAATCTTAAAGGTTTATATCGGTGAGATATAAGTTTTTCAAATTCTGTAGTTAAGCTTATAAATGATAAAGGATAATCAGATTAAAAACCATCATATATTGAAAAATGAGTGTGAAAAGTAACAAATAGCCTATGCCAATCATCAAAAGGGGAAAAAAATATCAAAGCTTTGAAATCTACTAATCAAGCGTAGTTTACATAGTGTAAGGCCTTATTCAATTCACCTTACAAAAATAATATTCAGTAAAAAATAATTTTAGTTTAGTAAAAATAGTTTCAATTCAGCAAAAATAAGTTCAGTTCAGTAAAATTAATTTCATTTCAGTAAAAATAATTTCATTTCAGCAAAAATCAATAAGGCCCTGTTCACTTCACCTTAAAAAAAAAATATTATATAAAATTAATTTTAGTTCAGTAAAAATAATTTCAGTTCAACAAAAATAAGTTCAATTCAATAAAAATAAGTTCATCGGTTCAGTAAAATATTTTCAGTTCAATAAAAATCATTAACTTTAAAGAAGAAATATAACAGAAAATCAATAAAAATAATTCCAGTTCAGAAAAAATAATTTCAGTTCAGTAAAATAAATTTCAGTTCTGTAAAAATAATTTAAGTTCAGCAAAAATAATTTCAGTTCAGTAAAAATAATTTAAGTTCAGCAAAAATAAGGTGAAATGAACGGGGCCTAACTCTAAAGAAGAAATATAATAGAGAATCAATAAAAATAATTTCAGTTCAGCAAAATTAATTCCAGTTTAGTAAAAATAATTTAAGTTCAGTAAAAATAATTTAAGTTCAACAAAAATAATTTAAGTTCAATAATTTAATTTCAGTTCAGCAAAAATAAGGTGAAGTGAACTGAGCCTAATAATTAAAAACAAATATATACTTCCTTCGTTTTTTTAGTCACGTTTTCCAATGCACAAATTCAACCGTTAATATCTTTAATTACTGATAAGCAAAAAATTATAAAAATTTGATATTTTGAAAATATATATTGTGATGAATTTAACAAGACCCCACATAACTATATTTTTTATTACGTATAAATCACAAAATACGGTCAAAGAAAAGTATGTGAATAAAGCTAAAATCAAAATGTGTCAACTAAAAAAAACAGATGTATATATGTAAGGTAACTCTGTGTGGTATGTACAACCCACCAAAAACATGAGCATTCCTATAGCAAGCGCTTTTTAGTATTTTTTTTTTTTTTTTCCCTCTGGCCAAATTTTAATATCCCAAATTCCCAATGTATTCACTCTGTTAATGATTCCGAGTAATTGGTCTTCTCTTCTTCATTCCCCTTAATTTCAATTTATGAGGAACAAGCTAAGCAACCACTTACATAGTTACATAAAACCAATTATTAAATGACAATTAACACCCCCTCCCACCTCAAAAACAATCCCAAATACATAAATTCTGAACCAAATGTAGAAAAAATATCACGGAATTAACTTAATTCCACTTCAACCAACCACATATAAGATATAATGGATCGACGAGCTGATTTTCTCAATAATTGCCTAAACAAGTTTATATCTACAAAAATTAGATGAAAAAAAAAGAGAAAATAACAAGGAAATAAGACTTTGAAAACTAACCTCTTGAACAATGAGGTTTATCTAAATGATTAAATATAGAGGAAATAATTTAGATAAACTACAACTTACTTCCTTTCTTTGAAATATAATGGCTACCCAACTATTGTAGTTGGGTTACTTCCTTTCTTACTTCATATTGTCATTGCCTTTTAATTTACGTCGTAATGGTGAAAAGGCTAAAAATACATTTGTTAAATGTAGAGTTAATCAACGAATTCAATGTCAAACAACACGATTTTCCATAAACATCAACAATTATATCCTTTTTAATTTCAATAAGAATTGAAATCTAGATCCTCCTTGCAATTGATGATTAATTGATTATACCATGTACAAGTATCTTTATTTTTGTTTAATTTTTATAGAAATATATTGCAATCTATATAGAATTGAATTAAAAAATTTGTGGAATTAAAACTTTCTTTACGATGGATTCGAGGAAAAAGAAGAGTTTTTTGCGAAGAAAAAAAAAAAGAAAGTATAATGCTCCTTTTTTTAGTATAATGCTTGTCCTTTATTCAGTTGAGACGATTACCCACTTTAAAACACTGTATATGAATTATAAGATACAACCATTTATATGGTGCTAATCTATAAATAAAAAATCCTTTTTTTTTTATGTAGTATTTTTTATTGTTGTGCACCCTAAAATTTATGAGGAAATACTAGTTTATCTCCGCAGTTTTGTTTATCACGAGGACAAAAGTGTAATTTTTTGCGATAAAAATGCGTAAAATCAAAATAACGTTTTATCAAAACCACTATTTGAAAGCTATATGTAAACCTGGGCACGGGCCGGGTTGGCCCGCGTGCCGCCCGGCACGGCCCGCCGTTCGACGCAGCCCGGCACGGCCCGCGTGCCAACGGCCATATTACCGTTTAAAAGCAACGGCTAGTTGCTTAATTAGCCAAAAAAACGGCTACTTAACGGCTATATTTTTGCCAATTTGCTCCCCAAAAATTCTATAAATACCCACCTCCATTTCATTAAATTATAAAGTAATAGTATAAAGTAAATATATAAATATAAATATTGAATATACAAAATTATAAAACATAAATATTCAACTTATAATTATAAAATTCATAACTTAATAACTTATAAGTTATAACCTTATAAAACTTATAATTATAATTTTATAACTTATATAAGTTATAATGTTGTCACTTTAAAAAAAAAAAAAAAAAAAAAAAAAAAAAATGGAAACTGCCACCAGCCCGCAGGCCGGCACGTGGCCGGCACGGCACGAGCCCGCCAGGCACGAGGGCCGTGCCAGGCCGTGGGCTGGCCTGTGAGAATGGCCGGCACGGCACGGCACGAATTCCTGGGCACGCCGGCACGACCCGCGACGGCACGGCCCGACACGATGCCCAGGTTTAGCTATATGAAGTAGCGGTGCTAAAGACCGCTACTTAAAGTAGCGATTTTAGTATGTGATAAACAAAATTTGTCTATCACAGATATTAACCGGCCAGCCTCAAAATTTATTGTGTATTCATAAACGGGTAAAAATAAAACAGTAGAAGAAAATTGAGAGCTTTGCAGAGGGAGGAGAGAGAAAAAGGAAGGCGAAGCAATGGCGTCGAAAATAGAATCACCGCCATATCCAAGTGCTGCTAAAATCTCCGATTCTTCATGCTTCCCTCAATACACTGCTTCTCTTAAGTGTAAGCTCTTACCTTTTCCTCCTATTTTCTATTATGTTATTGCGATGTTTTTCCAGATTTTTAAATCCCTAGTTCATAGCTAAATTGGGTAATCTTTCATTAATTTTTTTCCAAACATATTTGCAAAATCATTCATGTATGTGTATTTAGCTTAAGGGTTTTAATGAAAAACTTCGATAGATAAATGATCATTAGATGATTTTTTCCCTGTAATTTCTAAGAAACCCTTGAAAATTAATCTTCATGATTTTGTGAACAGATTTTATGTTCCATTTATGTAGTTTTGATGATGAAATTGACGAGATTTGTGGGATTTTGCTTGTGATTATAGTTTAAGATTTTGGATTATATAAAGTTGTTGAATTTGCCTTCTTAATGAATAGGTTTAGAGCAAAATAACTCAGAAAAGAGCAAATGTCAAGAATTCTTTGATGATTACAAGGAATGCAAGAAGAAGGAGGTAAGCAATATTAATACCCTATTTTTATTTTTATGTTTACTAATTATGTGTATTTATTTATAAAGGCTGATTGCTGAAAAATGCATATTACATGTAATGCACATTAAATTGTTGCTAAATCTGTTTTCTTCTTGAGATTATTTTGGTGCACTTGTCTTAAATTGGAGAATTTTGGTGAATCTGCCTTCGAAATTGAGACTTAGAAGGCGGTATTGGCAGAAACGGATATATTTTTGGCGAACCTTTTATGTGTTTTAAGTTTCCTTGGTTGAATTGGGGAAATTTGTTTGCATTTCAGTTTTTCAAAAAGTAGATAAGATCAACGATGCATTACCCTAGCTAACACGACTTGCCATTGTCTGTGTTGTGGCCATGTCCATTTCACTGAACTTATCCCAGTATTAATTTAGAAATTGATGAAAATAAGAGGTATTAAAGTTATTGAACATATTGTGTGTTAGAAAGCAGAACGCACCCCATGCACCTGACTCCAACATCCCCAAATTAATTCTCCAAAACCGCAGACCCTACTCGTTCGCCTCCTAGCTCTGCATCTGGCCACCGGCGATCTGAGTGGGCTGGTCCTCCTCCTCGGTCGCCGGCAAGCCCTTTCCTGATAGAGTCATGCCAGAGACGGAGCCCAGAGGTCCGTTTTCCCCCCTGTTGTTTCTTTGTTTAGTTTTGGGTTTTTGGTTGCCGTGGTCGCGGAAGGTGGAGTTTCGTTCTCAGTGGTTGCTGCCTTGCCATTGGTTGAGGGTCCGGTCACTGCCCCTACTGCTTTACAATTTGTGTGTCTTCCTTTCTTTGTACTATTCTTGGTTTGCCAGTAGTGGTTTACAATTTGAGGGTCCGAACTTCGTTTCTTTTGTCGTTTTTTGGTGATATTCTTTCGTGAGTCTTCCTAATTATTTTGTGTAAGGTGATCTCTAAGAAACTTTCTTCTGTTTTTTTGGGTCTCATCACCGCTTTGTCGCTTGTTTTCTAGCGTGGGTTATCAAGGGTTTCGGTTTTTTGTTTGTTGTTTTCTCTTCCTTCTATTTGTGGTGAAATGGATTGTCAAAAATTACCTAGAGCCCTTATGGTCACTCACTTGAACAATGATTATGACGAAAGCATTGTCGACTTTGCTAAAAACAATTGTCCCCGTAACATCCTTAATCAAGCAAAGGGCTTGAAGGAGGAGGGCAATACTCACTTCAAAAAAGGTGAAGTCGTTCTTGCTGGGGCTAAGTATGACATAGGGTTGAAACTTTTGTGCTTTTATCTGCCAAGAAATGAAGATGATTGTGTTTTTCTATGGAATCTTGTCATATCCTTTGAGTTAAATCTTGCAGCTTTCGCCCTAGAAGTCTAATGAACAAACTAAGGAGCTTTGCTCGAGTCGTTATGCTTGATGGTAACAATAATAAAGCCCTGTACATAAGGGCTTTAGCCGAAACCAAGCTCTATCCACTTGAAGAGGCCCATGAAGACCTTGGCAAAGTAGCTAAGGCTGAGTCTAAAAATCAGGACATCTTTCGTGAGATGGAGAAGGTGGAGGAGTTAAGAAGTAGAGCTAGCAAGATCAAGGGCAAGAGGAGTACTGAGGATTCAGACTTGTCTTACACCATCTTCAACAAAAAGGGGAAGATCAGCAACACCTCCGTCTGTCTAGATTATAGATTCTAACATGTTGCCTAGTAGCGATGTTTAGAGTGATGTAACGGCCTTATCCACCATGGATGCTGCTAATGAGATGTTGGTAGAGAGCTTATCACTACATCCAATGAGTTTACCCCTTTGGAAAAGGGGGACGATGATGCTACTAAGCCTTCCAAACAACCAAGATTTTAGACAAGCTAAGGACGAGGGATTGACTCACGAGAAGTAATCAGTCCCTTAAGATTTTCGATTTATCTTATTCGGATCTTAGTCAAGGGAAAACCTTGAGTTTCTTCAAACATTCTGCTATTTCATGGATGACTGTATGTGTGAAGGAAAAGACCACTATGATGGGCATTCTGAATCTCATAAGGCAAAGGAATCCAAAGTTCCTGAAACCTTTCTCGTGCCCACTAGGATGGTGGGTCCTAAAAAGAGGTGTCAATAGAAAGGGCCAAAAGAAAAAGGCCAAACGATCCCGATCCTAGGAAACCGGTGTTCTTGAGAAGTTAGATGTTCATATACTTACTAGCCTAACTTCTTGCGGCAATGAGGGCTCAACGATTGGGGAGGGGAGCGAGATACCTGGGAGAGATTTAACTACCACTGATATCGATGAAGTGGAATCTGTAGGTTCTAATGACGAAGACCCCATGACTGTTGAACCCGACCATGTGCAGTCCTCTCCACCACTCTCTACCTTCATGTTCTATGCCACGTCAAGAAAAAATGGAAGGTTAATCAGGTAAAAGGTACAAGGTATTCTAGTCGTCGTTTTTACAGGATCAAGAAACGCAAGGGAACAAGTTTGGAACAATTTAGGGCTATTTCTGGCGATGGACCTTCTCAACCCCCTTATTTGCTTTGTCCCAATCCCCTTTATAGTTCTTGTATTAGTTGGATTTAGAGGTTTAAATTTTCTCGTTGTAGTCTTGAGTCAGTTGGGAGCTAGGCTCCTTTTTGGACCATTGTAAAAAAAAAAAAAAAAAAAAAAAAAAAAAAAAAAAAAAAAAAAAAAAGGGATTTCTTTAGTCACTGCATTGTATTGGGTGATCACATTTTATTCAATTTTGTTCAATGCGCATGGTGACATGGTTTGACACTCAAAGCTTATTATTTTTTTTTCCTTTGCAGAGAGAAGCACGATTGGAACGCAACCGACACCGCTCTCTCTTCTCATAGTTCCCCAGGACAGGCTGCTTTGAAAAGGTTCTGCTTTGATAAAGAAAAATTGAGATAGATTTGTTGCTTTGAAGTGCACTTTGGTTCTGAAATAATACGAGTATTTCATTAGCTTGGAAAAGCTTTGTCATATGCCGAGTTACTTGTATATGTATGCACTCTTACAGCTTACTTCCTCAGACTTGGGCATTTGCTCTTTATTTTTATTAGCCTTGATAATATTAGGACCCCATAGATTTTAAGATGCGAATTTTGTAGTGCCGAGTAAGAATCTTCCTTTCATAATACATATACTAATTCATTGCAAATTTTGAATATTTCACTCAATGTGGTGGTCAATAGTTTGCTGAAACATGGACAACCTGTTGCTGTGACTTTAACTGGGAAGAAAGTTGGCTAACCTCATAGCAATATACAGAGTCCCTAATCAATTGACTCATTAATCTGTCTTTATCTCTTGTTTATTGTGATATATACTCGTAGTATGAACATAACCTCTTTGCTGTTGCTGGGTTAAAAGTTTACAACTTTGCAAGTCTGAGCCTCTAGATGGCTATGTCCCAATATGCTGGATTTTCTTTGTAGGCACTTTCAGGGGAATTATATTATTGTTGTACACAAAGAATAAAATTCTTGCCCTTTGTAGGAGTTTAATTTCATGTTCAGGTCGAGTTAAACTCCTTCAGGTTCAAGAACCAGCTTTAGTTACAGTACTTTGCTGATATTCTGGCAAAAAGTGAAAATGAGAGAGTAAGATCACTCAAATTCTAAGTGGTAATGTCAGTAAAGGGTGAAAACAAACCACTTTTACATTCCTCTGATCAACAGGATTTCGAGTCCTCTCTCCCCAAACTTCAAGCACCTCAGGCTCAATCTCAAGCTCAAGCCTGCCATAAACATCAAGCAGTAATGGTGCTGTGTTAGCAGATGTTTCATGACCGGGCAAAATCTATGGTACTCATCTGCAAGTTTTCTTGATCAAATTACAGGGCAAGGTCTTCCTTATTGCTGCTTCTGATCTTATTGCCTTTTCAAGTTTTTCTTGTAAAATAGCCATCTCATGTATCATCCTTTTCTTTCCAAGTTTCTATAGCAACACGTAACATACAGTATATTCATAATATCTGAACTATATGTTCATTCCAAACCACAAATCCACAATGCATGTCATAGTCCCACCATGATATGATTTTCGATTACTTAACAAAGAATTTGGGGAAAGATGAACAACTTTTGTTTGTAACAGTTATAACTTCAAGTTTCTTGGGGACATGGTGCAACAGAATTTACAATTCTTGCAAGTACACGGTATATTCATTATATTCAGAGTTGAGAAAACAAGATTGTTCAATCTTAATTTCATACTTCTTACTATACTAATTCAAAGTCTTTCTTAAAAAAAAAATAAAAAAATTTGACTTCTCACAGATAGAAAAATTGAAACAGGCCAATAATTGAGTTACAACCAAATTGAAACATATCAACATAAAAAGAACAATCTTTTTGAAACAAAGGATGTATTAAAGTTTGACTATTGTTATTGAAATGTACACAAATTCATGATATGAAATTTGTGCTTTAAGGAGTGTTTGGGGTAGACTTTGTTTATTGCTAAGGCTTCTTCTCACTGATTATAATGAAAAAATAGTAGCTAATAGCAAACTATGGCTTTCGCCTACAGTCCTACACCATGGCTAAAATCTAGTATCAAAGAAGGTGAGAAAATACTGAGTTTGCAAAACCTGAACCATTCAAGCGCTGCTTAGGAGGAGTTTAATTCCATGCTCAGGATCTATTACTAGCCTAAACACGGGGCTGTGCTGATAACCTGGTGAAAGCGAAAAGCTAAACTTGGACAAAATGAGAGATAAGATCACTTTGAGCTCCATCACGGCGAAATTTTGGCCAAGACACACACGAGCTCCGTAAATGGTATGTAAGCTTGCGGGACTTTGCATGCTGCTGCAATTCCATTTGCAAATCTTTCAGGGTGAAATTCTTTTGCGTCTGCCCCCCATAGATCTGGATTCTGGTGCAACATTGCTATTGGAACTTGAATTTCGAGTCCTTTTGGAACTTGAATCTCTTTTAGCCTGGCATCTTGTAGAGCTGTTCTTACAGAAAATACTCCTGGTGGGTACAGACGAAGCGTCTCTTGGATAATCGTTGTCAACTGCCAAAAGAAAGTTCAGGGTTACAGAAAGGAGTATTGCAGAGCATAAAATATACATGCAGTGCTCACAAAAATTTGTATGGTTTGCCTAAAACTTTAAATATCATTCAATAATTGGGACTTCTTTATCATAGCCAATGTTTCTAATGCTTACTCCATATTTGAAGTTAATATAGTGAATAGTCTAAAGTTCGATTCCATTTTAAGATCCAAGCACCATAATATTCACAATTCAACATGTCAAAACAGACATACTATAACACTAAACAGCGTTAACCAGTAATACCATATACCAAACTAGAGATATTAGAATCTCAACCTCCACATACACCCTCTTTCTATAGTAGATGAAGTTGGCAAACTACACTTTTGAGGAGCTATTTGATGTGAAATCAATAATTTTTTTTATATTTTTTTTGGTGTTTAGAGAGCCACAAGGGCGGGTGATAAGAATCGATCCCATGATCTCCTAGAACCGGGAGACAGCTCAATCACTTCAGCTATCCCTTACTCTCTAGTCTCTATGAAATCAAGATTTATTGTACAATCTATTAACGAAATGACAATCGTATTGATAAAATAAAAATGTATACATACCACTTTCATATGTCTCAGACTGTCAGCGGTTATAATTCCATCTTTACAAGCTTCAAGTGCCTCAGCTCGAGCCCGAGCCTGCCAATCAGGGTACACAGCCAGTAACATTAAGCTCCATGCTGCTGTAGCAGCAGTTGTTTCCTGACCAGCAAAATATATATTCTTGCAATTGTCTACGATGAGCTTCTCATGGCTCTTATCATACATTTTGAAGGGAACGTCATCCTGTTCACCACATTTTCTAGCACCTTCAAGTATCTTTTGTAAGAAGTCCGTCTCACGTTCAGCTCCCATTCGTTCTTTGACAACCTTTAATATCATTGAATCGATTTCTTTCTCTAGTCTCTTTATCTCCCGATTGGTCTTGGTTGGCATATACCTGCATATATATATAGAATACAACAATCAAGTTTCATCTCCTTATCGAGCTTCTATTGTGATAAGATCAGTATTTACCTTGAAAAGGGAATCCCAACATACAGATTTTTACTCATTAGCTTTTGAAGCTCCCTGAGCTTTGAGAATATGTCTTTCCCCTTAGAGTAGCTGCTCCCAAATGCAGTTTTTGAAATTATATCAGCTGACAAACTTTTCATGTCTTCATCAATCGCAATCTCTGCTGTTCCACCACTTTTGCTTACTCTATCTTCCCAAGAACTCAACATCGAGGTTGTCGCTTCCACCATCAAACCATACATTCCCTGCACACATTTCATGTCAGTTAAGGTAAATCATATTTAGCCTTACGACACCATTGTCAATTATGTACAACGAGTTTGTAACTTGTACATAGTATTACATAATAAAGCCTGCTTGAGGACAACTCAAACAGTTATGATACTGCTTAATTGTTTAGAGCCCTTGTCGCGCCAAAGATTAAACTAAACTGCTAAATCCTCTGGCAGCCACTCCTACTCCTCGGTCGAAGAGAAAGCTGTCAGCTTCTGCTTCCAAGGACGACCAGTCGTTTATCCAAGAAAAACTCAGGAGAAATGAGTTTCCTTTGATAAGACCAAAAGGAACCACTAGAGGAGATAACACCTTGACCAAGCAAAGGACCGCGATCCTTTGACAAATACGAAGGCTTTCCTAAATCCACAGAGCTGCATTGGACTATATCAATCACAACATTAGGGTCTGTTACGCACAACATCTGCATCCTTCCAGTTGAATATGTGAACGATGGTCCTGCTCCACCAAATTCATTGTTCCAATTTACCCAAAGTAAAAGAGAGGCACAATAGTAAAAGCTATCAGTTGTTTGCATTGTAAATTTGTAATTAAGATAGACACATGGTACATATAGTAATCAATCATGTGGTTTTAAATTTTATGAAAACGGTCTTTCGGGTTTGGGTCAGCCCAATGAGTTAAGGAATTTTAAAAGAACCATGATAAATATTACCAAAAAAAAAAAAAAAAAAAAAAAAAGTGCGATAAATATAACTGTATCTCAAAATTGTGTACTCCATACTTCATTTGTATAATTTAGTTGACATGTATCCTTTACATGTTTGGCAATGCAAAGTTTGACAATAATATCTCTAGTTATCAATAAGTACAATCATAAAAAGAATATGTATTTAGACGGCTTTAACAAGATCCACATGATTGTGTTATATTCCCATTTATTCTCCCCCTAAATCACACTAATTAGTCAAAATATAATTTGTGAATAATGTTAAAATCCAATGGTGTCAACTAAAAAAATAACGAAGAAGGTACCCTGTATATCATGTATGTATTCGTACAATAAAAACATATTTCCTCTGTTCCACAAATATTGCAACAAGGATGAAATTACGCATCTCAAAGCACATTTTATTGGCTAAATATCTATAATTATGTAAGAGTAAAAATTATAAAAAGTTGATATCGTGAAAGTATTTTACGAGACGAATCTAACAAGACTCCAAATGACTACATTTTACATAACGTATAAATCATAATATGTGGTCAAACAAACGTGATGAATAGTGTAAAATTTCAGTTGTTGCAATATTACTAGAATGAAGGAAGTATTTATTTATAATAAATCCACCATAAAGTCCAACAAAACAATGTTAAACCCATTAATCATAACATTCAAAGGTATTTTGTCCAAAATAGTCCTAACAATCTCATTCTATTGCTATTAATACGATAATTCTTGGTTCGGTCAGGCCAAAACAAGACGGGTCAAGTTTGACACTTTATTTTTCGGGGTTTTCGAACACAATAAAACAAATTCATGAACACATTACTACAATTTCTGTACCTCAAAAACAATCATAGTATATGCATTCATAGAGTAAAACCAACCAAAATTACCAAAATCATCATATAATAGTGCAAATTAGTATAAAACAAAAATGAATTAAAGAGAGAGAAAAAAAGGGTGTTACCGTATAAAGATTGCCATTTATAAAGGTGAGGACCTCTAATTTGGATAATTTAAATTCATGATTAACTTCAATATCACATGCATTAGCATAAGATGGTAAATTAATTTGAGATTTAATTTGGATAATTTCTGGGATGTTACCCAACAATATAGAAGAAGGTGGAGGACCTCTAATTCCTTGATTTTGCAACTTTAACCTTAATAACTTAGGCTACAAAACTAGCTTAACATAGATGTAACCAATTAACACTATAATCACCCTAATAATTGCTGACATTAGAGCTTC